CTTCTTGGCAGGAAAGCGATGACAAACCTTGACAGCATCCTAAAAAGCAGAGCCATCATCTTGCCAACAAAAGTCCACATAGTCAAAGCTATGGTTTTTCCTGTCGTGATGTATGGAAGTGAGAGCTGGACCATAAAGAAAGCTGACCGCCGAAGAATTGATGCTTTTGAATTGTGGTGGTGGTGGAGGCTCTTGAGTCCCCTGGACTGCAAGGAGAACAAACCTATCAATTCTAAAGGAAATGAACCCTGAGTGCTCACTGGAAGGACAGATCCTGAAGCTGAGGCTCCAATACTTTGGCCATCTCATGAGAAGAGAAGACTCCTTGGAAAAGTGTTAGGAAAGTGTGAAGGCAAGAGGAGAAGGGGACGACAGAGGATGAGATGGTTGGACAATGTCATCGAAGAGACCAGCATGAATTTGACCCAATTCTGGGAGGCAGTGGAAGACAGGAGGGCCTGGCGTTCTCTGGTCCATGGGGTCACGAAGAGTCGGACACGACTAAATGACGACGAGCAACTCTCTAATGGGTAAAATTGAAATATACACACTGTCTATATTAGATGAGGACAACAGATGTTCTCCATTTCAGTCAAATGAGTCCAAACTAACTGTGCCTCCCAAAGTTCCCAAGTGGGATACTCAGGCATGTTGCACCATGTTAAAAGATTCAAATAGATACTTAGGCACATTCAAGAGTTTTTCTTTAATAGAGATGGGGATGAATATAAAAATGGATTGGTTTTTTCGACGAAAAGAGCCAATTTTAAATATACGTAGATCCGTATTTGTCAAATTTTAAGTCCCAATGAATATGGATCAACGTATATTTTCCTGCTTTTATTCATCCTCAGTAATTTAAAAAAACCAACATTCTGCCTACTGGCCACCGATCATCTGATTGGAGGGGTAATAGGGAGCCACTCCCCTTCTTCTCCCTACCTCAGCCTCCCACCCCCGCTAACACTCCCTTACCATAATCGCTGCTGCCGCCTTAAGGGAATCCAGGATGCCCTTTGCAAAAATGGCAGCTGCAGTTTCCGTACCCTAAATGAAGCTGCAGCTGCCATCTTTGCAAAGGGCAGCCAGTTCCTCTTTTTACATGTCGTCAATGTGGACACCAGATGGAGACCTGGGTGGCAGCGATTATGGTAAGGGGGTGTTGATGGGGATGGGGGGCAGCAGGGGTGTTTTCTAAAATAACCTCCCCAGAAATTGACAAATAACTTTGTTATTCGTCGCTTCATGGGGGCAACTCTGTGCTTCGTCAACTTTTTGACGATTCATGAAGCGGGACAACTCACCAAAATAGTGAGTTGTCCCCATCTCTAGTCTTTAATCAATACACAAGTATAGGGAGGCAAATACAGATCTTCAAAGCCATTGGAAGGCTCCGTGGCATTTGCAGCAGATAGGTGAGTGGACTGTCTAGCCCCATGGGGCTGGGACCCTCATTATTGCCACCTGTGTTGGGATATTCGTATTCGTATACAAATACCCCCATCTCTACTCCTGAGTCCTTTGTCCATCACTCTGTCCACTACACCACACTGGGTACACTTAGGAGTAACATACAGAAATGTAATTGCCAGTAAATATATAAAGAGTAAAAAATAATGCATTTTTAAGTAGTAAACTGAACCTTGAGGGAACAAAAGATTAGAATTTGGGGGAGGTTTCTCTGCTGATATCTTTTTTCTGAATCAAAATAAAATTCAAATGGATCTGTTTTCACACTAGTGATTGAATTTAACAGCCAGAACATCATTTTGTTAATAAAATCAAAGACAACTGGTTACTGAAAACATTTATCAACCTTTAAAACTTAAAACATAAGTATCAACACCACTGTAAAACAAAAACAACTGTAAGACTTTGTATCAATGGTTCGAGAAACAATAAGGGGAAACAAAATGCAAATTTGCTATACATCTATGTATTACTAATAAATCCAAAGTAGCTCTTAAGTGCACAACAGCCATGACTGTTGGACTGCAATGTCCACTATCCATTATCACTGGAAATGTTGGTTATAGCTGATGTTAGCTGTAGTCCAAAAGAATCTGAAGGATGCACATTTCTCAGCCACTTGTAGGACACTGATACAATACAGAACTTTAAAAAACCAGCTCGATATGTTCTGAGTTGCAAAACTGATCTGTTCCATAGTTTTCTAAGGAGTTGCTTCCGTTCAGCCTCTCATAACCTATGGATTTTTCTTACTTCATATCCCATAATAATTTGATTCCCGAAGCAGGGAACCGATCATCACTAAGCGAAATTCCCCCATTTAGGCCATCATTTTGTGATCACAATTGCGATCACAAAAAGACTGTCGTAAAGTGGATTCGTCGTAATGCAGGGCAATTGTTAAGTGAGGCACCACTGTATACTGCAGAGCCAGACAAAAGTATTTTATTTCTTAAAATATTTTACACCACCTTCTCCTTAAAAAAGGATCCAAGGTGGCTTACATCATTTAAAAGCTAAAACCAGTAAGTATACAAATATTTAAAAAGAATTAAACAAATATATTAAAAGTGATAAATGAAAATGAAAAACACATTTAAAAGCAACAAGGGAGGCACAACAATCCATTAAAAAAAAACCCTCTCCGACAGCCAGTCCTTAAGTGAAAAACTGCCTGAAGTGAAAGGTCTTCAACTGCTTCATCAGCAAAGTACAAATGATGCTGCAGTCAGGTGTAAAGCCAGTTTGATGATAGCTTGCTTGCTTGCTTGCTTGCTTGCTTGCTTGCTTGCTTGCTTGCTTGCTTGCTTGCTTGCTTGCTTGCTTTATTTATTTATTTATTTATTTATTTCTTAAGCAAATGATTTTGGTGATACTTTGCCCTACAGAATGGTTATGGAGAAAATGGTATTTCTACTCACGGCTACTCATGATATCTCCCTTGTACTGGCCAAGGTACACTCACACGTTTTGCATTACATGGCAAAAGAAAACTACATCATAGGAGAATGAATTATATCCAGCCATATTCGTATTTTTGGTACATTTCTTGATTTCAGTGGGTCTATTCTAACTATGGTTAAATAAAATAAAATCCACCAAAACCTTCAATAAAACATGCTCCAATTACCTTTAATTTGGCACAATAGTACTCTGAATATGAATTTTACTAGGCAAAGAATATGTAAATAGATCTTTTAAAAGTGAAAAATTTTAGAGGAAACTTATAATCACTCATGTTCTCAGACATTCTCCCAGCAAGGTGATATGTGAAACTAGTAACATACATGGCCAGCAACTCTTGCATGACTGCACCTATGTATGAACAAAAAGCTGTATTAAAAATGACCTAAGACAAACATATCACTTTAAATGAACACAATCTAGGTCAGGAGTCTCAAAAATGCGCCCCAGGGGTCATTTGCGGCCCGCTGGATGATAGTTTGTGGCCCCTGCCTTGCCTGCCCCCCTGAAGCACCCACGCATCCTCTGCTGTCAAGAGTCAAAAAAAT